GTTGTCTTCTATTAATTGTGTCCCCAAGAGTGAAGGCCAAAGCGAAGCAGATTGCTCCTCTCAGGCCTCCGTACGCCAAGCCGAACTGGTCCTTCAAACTGAACTGGATAGTCCGGAACGGGTTGACGATTAGGGTCAGCACCAGAATTCCTTCAAAGGAGGAGGTACCAAACGATCAATCGCCCCGATTGTTTTGAATTTGAGAAGGTTCCGGAAAGAGTGAGAGAGCTCCTCACCGAGTCCTCTCCACAGGAAGGCGAAGAACAGCGTGAACAGGATGAAGGCCCAGTTCCACTCATGGAGAGTTGTTATGGTAACCACGCCCAAGAAGAAGAAGATGAGCGTCTCAGAGATGGTGGCCAGCATCTTGACGACGTGGCGAATGGTGGTGCAGGACCTCTGGGAAACATTCTCCTCCACGTAGTACTTCATCGTTATGGCACATGTGATGATGCTGTATGAACGATGAAAGAAAAACTCGTGAAAATCAAAGATCATAGTATACTGGAGGGGGGGAAGGGTGAAACATGTAGTGAAAGAATCTGTAGTCAGTTTCTCAAACGTATATGAAGAAATGGAAGCCAATAACCTGGGATAAAAATGCAAACAACAAAATCTTGACCAATATTTCATTTTCAGTTCAATTTTTTTCTAAACAGCAGAAGAGATTAGGACAAAACAAAAGATATCTCCCCTTACTTTGGCTTGTTAAGGACATGGTAATGACTTTGAAGGCCATTATAAGGATTTAGTTCCTTGAATTTCCTTTTTGATTTCAGTTCAACTGAAAAATTCTTCACCAAAGGAAATTCAATTTTACAATTCAAATAATCCAAGTATCTTCAATAAGTTGTTGTGGGTGGCTGTGTGACAGTCACATGACCGTCAGGACATGCTAACGGTTCAATTTCTGGCCAGCAGAGGCAATGCTCCACAGTGACATCCCTTGGATGCCACCATAAATTTTTCCCGAGCACTACTGATCCAACTCGTTTGCTTTTGCCACTCCTCTTTCTGGTCATACACTCAAAGCGAAAAACTAAAGAAAGCCTGTCAAGTCTGTAAAGTGTATTTACTTATTTCATGGCTGCTGTGCAAGCAACCCTCGTCATGAGCCACGAAATAAATAAATACACAGTGAAATATATTTTTAAATATGTTTTCTTTAAAAATACTTACTACTTTAAAAGGTAGATTTAATTGCACGTCATAATTTCATGACGTAGTTATTAAATTATAGTTTAATTTTTTTATGATAATCAATTAATGCAATATTTACACTGATGTATTTCTGTGTACATTTATTTAATTTTTCATCTTGAACAGTGTAAAAAATCAACTTGATATGTTCTTCTTTTTGGCCACTAGAGAGTGTAAGATGATAGGTTGGCACATGTGTGTTATGCCGTGTCATCATATAGCTATATTAAATTTGTTTTCATTTCTAAAAGTATTTCTAATTGTTTTTATCCATAAAAACAACTAAATTGTAGTGATTATATTTTGTTACACCTCACTCATTCTAGTAGCAATTTTATCAGAAAAGCCTTTATATCAATCGAAGACTCTTCATCTCGCAGATTTGAAATAATTTATTACGGTCTTCTATTTATGTAGCTTTAGAACTTTCAGAAACCAGAGTAATTTCTGTCTGTGCAGGATGTCGTCCAATCTTGACTTCCCATCGCCTCTTGAGGCTGGAAAGTTTTGTGGAAGAACAAGTTTGCGTTGTAATGCTGAAGGAAGGCGGGAGGAAGCCCTCATGAGAGAGCTGCAAGTGGAGGAAAACAAGACAACATGCATCAGGTTTGACAGGTTTGCAGAGATAAGCAGTGAACTTACGACAGGACGCTGGAGATGGCAAACAGCTCGGCCACCAGGTACGCCAGGTAGCTGAACATGAAGATGAACAGGGGCTCGATCTCCCGCACCCTGCTGGTGAAGCGGGAGGTGAACGCCGCCATGAAGCCAAACAGGAGCCCGAAAAGGACGCCTCCAATTCCCACCACGAAAAACCTGGCCACTCCCAGGAACACATCTACAGAGTCAACGACTGGCATGTCGGCCAGAAAGGCAAACATGCTGTAGAGGACCTGAAGCAACAGAAGCGGAGCAGATTACTGGAAAACCACTGCTTTACTGTCATAAGAAAGATTTCAAAAAGACAAACAAGATGAGAAATTGCTTTCTAATCAAAGAACGTTGGGTCAGAAAAAAAGTATATATATATATTTTATTGGTCTTCTTGAGAATCTGGTGCAAACTTCTTGCTTATTTTTACCCCACATGCAGTTGTAAACAATGTGCCAGCAGGACTTGAATGAAACTTGGCTTTCAAGTGAAACTCAACAGAAACAGTCGGTATTGTTACTGAGGCTACACAACAAAGGACAAACTGACAGTCAGTAAAGGTTAGGAGGTTTCCTTCTGAGTCACTTTGGAGCATATTTTATGCATATTTGCCTTACAGAACAACCGTAAGCCTGTGTTGATTTGACCAAATGTTTTCAGGGAAAAAAATATGTTTAACTCTCCTAGATTTAGAGGTACCTGAAGTAAAGAACCCATTCTTAAGCCTTCTTGCAAAATGTATTTTAAAAAGGGGCATCTCGTTTGCTGATCGTTTTGTTCTCTAGACTTACCAGGATCAGACGTTTGTGTGTGTGTTTAGCACTAGTTCTGGATTAGCTGTCAAACAAAGCAGTGGAATTCCTTTTTTCTGAAGTTTCATGAACAGATGTGTTTTATATCAGGATAAGTTTGGCAATTTAGTCTGACGAGGTATTCATTTTTTGTATTACAAATAATTGCCCTTTACTAAAAAGTTGAATTTGAACCAGAAAATCTTTAAAATTATAGTCTGAAATTTGGAAATAATTGTGTAGAAATCCTGTGGCAGTGTTTGCTTCTTTTTTTCTTTTTCTACTTCCCTTACCTTCCTGTTAACTGTGTGGTAGCAAAGAAAATTGGGATCTTAAGCCTTATTTGCATTACATGTTCTCTCTCCCATTTCAAATAAGAGGGCCTTTGTGTGGCATCATGGTTTTAACACAGAAAAACAAAAAGTTATGGTCAAAAACACTGCAGTGACAGTAAGTTGTAGATCTCTTAGTTTGCACAGCTACACTGTACAGGTGTAGGTGTGTTATATTCCCTAAGAGAATCTAAACCATTTGGCCCATCCAGTTTGCACTCTGACTGAAAGTGGGCATCTCAAACCGTTTCACACCACCATTACTCACCAACGTGACCGCATCGTTGAAGAGACCCTCTCCAAAAATAACTATGTAGATTTGCTCATTGACTCCAATGTCATCAAAGACATTAAGAGCCGCCACAGGGTCTACAGCAGAGATGATTGAGGCAAAAAGCAAGTTCTCCTGCAGTAATATGAGCAGACAAAGAAGACCCATAAGCACATCCGTGCCAACTATTTCTGGTATGTCAGACGCTGATAGACACTGCAAGGGTTTCATGACTGACCTGCAAATTAATGTCTTGAAGGTCGAACACTTCAAATTGGCAGATGGCGAAGAGCGAGAGGCCTATGCCGATGCTGTTCCACAGCGTTCCCACCACGGCGTACCACATCACCGTCCCAACATTTTCAAAGAACAGCCTTGTGGGCATGAAGTAGCCGCTGTCCAAAACAATGGGTGGGAGCATGTAGAGGAAGAAGACATCGGAGGAGAGAACTGCGGGGGGTTCCTCCTTCACAGAGTGCATAATGCCCCCAACTATAAGGCCGATGCCAATGAGGAGGCATGACTCTGGAATCCAGATAGTGATTTTTTGGTAGATGTGGAAACCTGAATGGAAAAGATGAAGCAATTCAAGGGTAAACTTCCAGATTATCCGCAATTAGTCTAACCTGCTTTTCTACCTACCAATTTTGGAAAAAGAAGCCAGCAGTATCCATAAGGTAAACTCAAATGGGATCTGGATCCGACCGTAGTCCATTGTAAACACAGGAAGGTTGCCCTTCTCCTCCTCTGGATAAGGTTGAGGTTCCCCAATTTCATTTGGAAGAGGTTTGACAGTTTCAAGGCTTACTGAGTTTGTTGGTTCTGGTTGCTGGAGTTTGCATTTTCCAGGAGTGCAGCAAAGAAACAGCACAAAACTCATGCAGATGACTCCACATGTAGTTCTCATGCTTGACAAAGGAAATCTCTCCATTTATAAAAGTCAGAATGGCTCAAAATCTTCCAAAATCATTTAAATTAATCTTAAAAATGTAGTAAGAAGTTTCTTTGATGGCCCAGGTCTTGCGGAGGTCTTGAATCACTCCTGTGCAGACCTAGTTTCATTAAATGTTGGAGTTTCGCTGAAAACTGAAAGAAAAAAAAACAATTCCTTCTTCCATAGTGTCACAAGGATCAGGACTGAGGTGCAAATCTGGTTTCGACTGTTGCCAAACCTGCTTCCACCTACTGGGTGGAGCTCCATGTTGAAAATAACATGAAACGAATCACTGTTATTGACATGATGTAATCGTGTCAAACCTCTTGCTGTCTTCAGTTAACAAACACTCCCACAGATGAATGACTGGGACTCAGAAAGGACTTTATTCAAGCTTTAAGGCTCACCTAAAAAAAAACTTGTGGCGGATCTGCAGTACCCTATAAAATCCACATGATGGCAGCAGAGCATAATTCACAGAATTCATGGATTTCTGATTTTAATGTGACTGATACAAGTTAATATGACGTACGACAACAATGTGACTGTTACATGTTCATGTAAAACAATATTTTCTGTGATAAATAAAGCACTTCCCTCACATGAAAGCACAAAAAGTTTAAATAAATAAAATGATTCAGAAACCAGTGGCAGGTTTCTGAGTGTTAGTAGTATGCTAGCTGTACCAAAAAACAAGTTAAGCTGGTGGGGAGATAAAAAGCTATAAACTGAACGCGCTGCGTAAGATACGCAATGACGTCTGGCTGTGCTTGACACAAGGAGGCGTGGCTAGAGCCAGTCACTGCTGCGGCTTGGGTGACGTCCAGAAGGAGACAGAGAAACTGCTGCAGTTTACAGACACCCACTTTCCAGACGGCTGTCGTGTTTTCTTGGCGCTAACCGGGTTTATTTATTTATTTTTTATTGCTGTTGTACAGATAAAGGAGCCAGACTGGTACGTAGCTGCCGTACATATGTGTTTTTTAAGCAGAAGTTGTGGAACAGCGGTTGTTTTTATCGTCTGTGGGAAGCGAACGACCACAGCTTCACTGTTTATAAGGCTGGGGAATAAGTTCTTAAACGGAAGGAGTTCATTTCAAACTATTTGTAATCGTTTTGCGGCGTAAACCCGGCATATGTCTGTCCACCAACCGCTTATAATCACACCGAGTTAGCAATATGCGCAGTATGACTGTATAAGAAGCTGGAATTTTGTTTGAATATGGCAGAGGACTGCTGACCTTCTTTAAGAGGGAAGTCTTTTGATTTATTTCCGAGCTGCGTAGTTATGCAACTTTGTGAAGAAACATTGTATCTTCACGGCCGTGTTTGTCAATGAGAAACGAGCATTAACGCGATGTAATGGAAACCTGCTTATGATGCCGCCCGCGCGCGCGTTCTATTGTGTGTGTGTGTGTTCGCGCGCGCGCGCGACACAGTGTGGATGCTACTAGCTGACTGGCTGGGAGGAATGTAAACACGCGTGTTCCTGACAGCTCGCTGCAGTCCTGCTGCTTTTTTAGTTTCACTCCGGAGGAGTCAAGGTCAGGATGCTGAAGCCGAGGCCTTTTACCGCGACTGAGATGAGTTCAGGTGGTTTAGAAGTATATAATTTGCTGTTCAGATCTGGCTAAGTGTGGACTAAAAATAATATATGTAAAAAAATTAAATAAATAGAAATGTCCTGACAAGATAAAATAAAAGATTCCAATTTTAACTTGGTTAGAAGAACAAACAAAAAAAAATCAAGAAAATGTTTAATCCTTTTTCTATTTCATAAAATCTTTTATCTTTTCCCCTTTGATTTTTCTTCTTGTGCTACTTTTACTTTTAATGTTTTGTAAAGATAAAATAAAAAACTAGAAAACAACATTTTGATGAAAGAGCAAGCAATTCATGGACCATTCTGTCCTCCTCTTTTGGATCTGGACTTATTTACATCATAATTGGACCAGAATCTTGTTTTGGGAGCAAATGACGGCTAAATAATTGCGCAACCAACAGCGACTACACTTTAGAACCTATTTAAAGTAGAAATATCGAACAATTTTAAAATGGATTTCACTTCTGCGTCGTATCGCTTTTGAAGTGAAAGGAGAGAAAAGAGAACAGCCAGGAAAGCTGTAAACTATCCACAGTGCTGATGCAACAGACTGTTGCTTGTTTTGCAGCGTAAGCGCTGTTTTATTTCAAAGTCAGAGGAAGTTTGGAAGCCTGAAACACGGGCTTCAAAGAAGCAAAAATGTTACACCAAGAACATTAAAAAAAAATTGTCCCAACAAGACATTTGTTTTGGTTAAACTTCTACTTCCTAGTAAATAAGCTTACCGGTATAATTTATTACCGTCTCAATCTGAGCATCTCTGGTGGACTGTAGGCGTTTATTGTTTTCTTTAACTTTAAAAAAAAAAAATTTATTGACACCATGTGCTCGTCGTGACTCATCAAACCCCTTCCAATCAGCTGTGAGCAGGCAGTCTGTGGATCCACGCTCCTCTGCTTCTGTGCATCTTCTTCCCCATGTGTGGGTAGTTGCCAGCGCATGCCTGCAGCCCGCTGGTCTTCTGGACCAGTCTTTATCAAACATGTCATGTAAAGGTCACATAAGAAGATTAATTTAAGGCTTTTATTTGCTTGACATGAATTAAAATGGAGTTGATTTCCGTTATCTTAGAAAGTAAGAACACTGAAATGTCAATGTCCTGGTTCTTTAGCTCAGTAAAAGCAAAATGGAAGATAAAATGCAAAAAAAAAAAATTCAAACACGTATTGACTTGGAGCTAAAAGCCACAGTGGCTGTGTGTCTACTTTAAAATGAATTGCTGTTCTCCTGAGCACATTAAAGCTTTACAGAACCTCCTGAACATCACCCTCTCTAACTTGTGTTTCGCTGCGCTTCTTTGTGTTGGACAGCTGTCGCAGAGTGACGTGGGGCGTGACGGGGTTTCCTGGGCGGTGAGCGTTCTTGAAAAGCATCTCGAGACGGTGAGAAAGAGCAGCTGAAAACCCATTTGTGTCTAATGCTTAGCTTTCGGTATTAAGGTATCGAAAACCATCCGACGAGACGTCGGTGTTTGTTCTCCTTTCACCCGGTGTCTGTGATCAACAGTTGAGGGTAGGACGAGTTACGATGGATTCTCTTCAATTGACAGTTTCAAAAATAAGACAAATAGGTTCAAATAGATCATTATGTCTGGACATGTGACCGCTCTTTCTGGTAGAAATGGTAAAGCTCATTTAAATCACTTGGTTTCCTGGCCTGCAGTGGATCCCAACTGCTTGAAGGTGCAGTTGGACCACAGTTTGTGTTGTGCGTCTGCACCCAGTTCTATCAAAAATGATGAGTGGATAATCGTGTTTTCGGACGTTTCTGTTGTTTGCACTCTGCATTTCTTCCTCACTTCATCACGGCGTCAACCGCTGCGGTCCACAAAGCGTTTACTGGATCAAGTGTTCAAGAGGCACAGCAGCATTTAGAGTGAGTGTTGAAAGTGCAGCAGAGGAAACGGGTGAATGCCCTTGCACTCGTGGCTGCTTCCTTGTGACAGCATCTGGAGCGTGAGTTTGTTTACACCCCGAGGCTGCAGACCGCCATGCACTGGAACGCTGATGTCATGCATACATTTGGCTGCAGATTTGTTCGGAGGATCTGAGGGGAAATGCATCGTCACGCTGTTTGCTAATAGGCCAGTGCAGCCTCGTTAGGAAAGACGTGATGTAAATTGCGACTGGACTCAAACGGAAGCACAGACGTGGATGGACAGTGCACACTAGGATTTGAAAGCTTTTTTATTTATTTATTTATTTTGCGGCCTCTGGTTGTTTGTCTGACTCTGCAGGAAGTTTAGCTTGTGGTGTCATTTCAGAGAGACTTGTAAGTTGACCCTCTTGGCTCACATCCGCTTTCAGAATGGTTCTGCTGTGAGTCCCACTCTCTTAAAGGGAAGTCTCACGATACAAACGCAACGTTCCGCAGGACTTGTAAAGCAATTGTTGCCGCCCGTCAATCTAGGAAAGGTTATAAGGTAATTTTATAGGTGGACCTTGCAGTCATTGGGTGAATCACGATTTCCTCAATATTGAAAAGTCGTATGTGATCCTATATGATCAGAAGTGACTGAGGATCTTACAGGTGATGAGCAGACTGTTCATTATTAGCAAAAACTGAACACAACAATAATCTTCTCCAGCATCCAATCAGCTTTTTTCTTTTTTAAATCACAATGTGCCTCAGTGGGGCCAAGAGAAGTGGCTTTGTTGTCCATTTGTTGTGTGCGGATGTAACTTGTATGTCAGATTTAGAGGTGTATGTTGAAAAATATAAAAAATTTGTTTCAAATTTTCCTTGGGCTCCGTCATAATCATCACTTTTGTATTGCCAACTAAATGGGCTCCCAGTAATGACAAAATTCAGATGCGCATGCTAGGTTGTGAGAACCTCGGGCCACGCCTTTCAGTGTAGTGTCAGTGTAAAACTGACACTACACTGAATTTTATTTCAGCTCTGACGACATGAACCTTGTTGCCTGTGCCTGCTGTCAGACACAGTGAGCGCTCTGCCTGAAGCCACTCCTCCACAAGCAACGGAAGGGACATGTCTTTTGTTCTACTTTGAGTCCCTGACAGTTATATAGTCTGACTTTCAGAGGCTAACCAGTGTTGCGGCAAGTCCTCTTATCAGTGAAGTAAGGGAGAGCAGGAAGAGCAATGCACTGCTTGTTCAATGGTTCAACAAAGACACTGAACCAACCTGCAAAGCAACCCAGCTTGCTCTTTTTGACGGTTTACATTTGGTAAGTGAAGCCTGTGCTATCTCACTCTTTGTAAAGAAAAATCAGAGAAGTGGACGTGGCTCTGGGAGACACTTGCTACGTCACTGTGTGCGTTTTTGTGTCTGAGGCCAGAGCTCATTTTCATGTGAAAGGGCCACAGCTGCTCCGTCCCCATAAAGACATGATTCATGTCTGGTTCTGATGCCCGTCCCTGAGGGTGGACGCGTGCTGTCGGGGGATCGTCTCCGAGTCTGGTTCAGTCCTGCGGCCTGAGAATGACTAAGCCAAGGCTTATTTTACAATGTGAATTGTCCTGGATGGTTTTGATGAGTCATTGTTCCACGGTGGCTGGCATTTCAACAGTCAGGTAAAGGGACAGAAAGGAAAATGAATGTTGTTCTTAATGTTTACAAAAGTACAATTTAACCAGTTTTGCGACGTAAAATTTTGTTGCGACAGGACTGTTTAATCTAGCTTTTAAAGCATTTATTTTCTCATGGAGCTTTTAGAAGGCGGTTCAAGGTGCTTTAATCGTAAAATCACAAAACTACAAAGTCACAGAGCACACAGTTAACAATTATAGCTGACTTAACTGTCAATTAAGTGGGCCTTTTTCTGCGCCTGTCGTGGGAAAGTGCAAATGTGTCGCCGATTGGCTGGATGACGTTGGTTAACGCCGCTAGTTTTACTCTGTTCAAAAAATCTTGGCAGTAAGAGGATCAAGGCCGTAGAGAGGAGTACAAAATATGACATGCTTTGTTTAATTTCCTTCATTCATTATGGTTTTAAAAAGTCTTTATTTGAGGTTGTGAAACCTGCAGGAACCTGGGTTTTTTGGGTTTTTTGCAGTCTGGTTAAATCAAACCGAATTACATGCGGCTTGTTAAAAGTGAAACAACATGTGTCAACATCACTACTTCCCCTTTTTTGAAAACTAAAATCTTCTGAACTGCTTCCGATTTGTTTCACGTTTTCATTTTTTTTTCCCGTCTGCCGTGTTTTACAGGCATCGAGCAAAGACCCAGATTCGGCCGCAATAAACCGTTCTCGGTCCTCGGAGTGAGAAAAAGCGCCGCTGCTCGGCAAGAGGAAGCGTGGAAACGTGAGTTTCACCATGTATGGTCAACTGGACTGTCTGTCCCTGAATCTGGCTTTTGTGCCTGAGGTTTAAACCAAAGACAGAAGCTGTAAACACTCACAGAGGCCGTTGCTCTTTACACAAATCAGCGCAAGGACAAGCCTGGCGCTCCTTTCTGCTGGGATCCTCAAACAAATTCCTGAAAGCGTAGCGGAAATTACAAACTCCCTTCTTCCGTTTCCACTTCTTTTATTCAGATCATCAAACTAAACAATCGTTGTTGTTTTTTTGTTAAAGTGAAAAAGCCACTTTATTGGATCGAAGCGAACCAGTGCCTCACACAGGCACCTTCACATTTCAGTCCAGAAAAAGTTGATCTGTCAGCATTTTTTGTCTCTGCAGTGAACAAGCTTACAAAGTAGTGAAAGCCTTGAATGACAACTGCCTCGTTTGCAACAGGGAATGTATTTAGTGAAATACGACAAAGTGAATGTGATCACAGTTGACCGGAGTTTGTGTCGCTCTTGGTTCCACAGAGCAAAATCCATGCAATACACCCCAGATACGGGTCACAAGTATCAGGAGCTCTGACCGGCGCTCTCTAAGGTTTATACACAGTACGTGTGAGTGTGTGCCCCAGTTTATGTGACTCACAGACATACACACTCTTGGATCTCATGTTGGCTAAATTTGGAGCTGCCTTATATGGCTGCGTTTCCTCATTCCCTGTAGCAACGCCATTAATTTATTGCATGGCTACATTTCAAACTGGTAAACGACCGTCATCTACAGATCTGACCAATTAACATTTCTGTTTCCCATTCTTGCTTTGTCGCAGTTAATCCCTGTCCTTACATCAACATAGAAAGAGCGTTGCAGAGACGTTTAACTGTCTGCAGATATAGAAGGGAGGCAATAATGAATCGAGTTGGTATTTATGAAGAAACGTAAATTAGGATGTCGCGATGATGAAAATGGAAGACGATTTTTGGCATTGGAAATGGAAAAAAAAAGTGACTTCAGCTGGACGAGAGACTGGAAAATTCTCACTCGTTTTCAAAACAAAGAAGTTCAAACGCATCAATTCTGGCAAAGACGAAGAGTTTCGATCAACGTTTCTGTCTCTAAAGAAAACTCAGGCTTTGGTGTGTCTGCGCATCCTCAAAACATCTTCATCATGTCATGCGACTGACTGCTAAGATTTCCTTCCCAGCAAGCTACCTGACTAGCTTTTTTGCGTTTATCTTTAGCACACATTTATCGCCAAGCTACGTCTGCAGCAGCACACAGGCAAACAAATGTCCTGTCCTCTGCCAGCATGATCCACATTGCTCTCTTTAAATCTGATAGAGTGCAGGACCTCGGAAACTCTCCAGCTATGTCTGCTTATATTCCAAAGGCTTCACTGATCTATGATCACGGTTCCACTTCAGGGAAATAAAACTGCCAGTGCTGGCTAAAAGACTTCCAGACCGTAGATCTCGTTCATCTGGTCATCAGTTTGTGTCAACTGAAACGCAACCCAAGTTTTGTCAACAAAAATCAGTCCTGACAGTTCTGGTATAATAAAATCAAATTTTGTTTTCTTGAATTTCAGTCATTCACACCATTGAATTCTTTGCAGTTCGTTCCATAAACGTGGCCGTTTACTGAAAATTGAACAAACCAGTTGTTCATTGAAAACTATCAGAAGTGATATTTGCAGTTTCCTGCTCAATGATTGCTTTTATTCACAGCCACGTAAAAATATGAGCGGGTTTGCTTTCCGTTTTCTGGCCAGGCAATTTAATCTTTCCTTTCAGATTCCTCAAAACCAACAACTGTTGTTCGCTTTGTGAACAGTAGGTTGTCGGGTCGTCTCGGTTTATGTGCTGGAACATGCACACCGTCTCGTGCTCTCATGCAAACGCCATTCAAATTCGGGTGGAAATCAAATCGACTTGCTTTGGTCCACGAAGGACGCCAGCTGCTCCAGATGTTTGGCACATGTGGGTCGGTCATAAAGTGGGACACTTTGAGTGCTGGACCCCATACGCCAGGAAGTAGGCCAGACCCACCGAAAAAACAAGACCCTTCTCTTTTGAATCGGTATGGAATATGAATATCAGCCTTTACCACTTAGAAACTTTTTCAGAAAGCTGAACTTCTTTGTGCGAGACAGCTGATTTAATATATTTTATTTTTAATGCTAGCTTAAACCTGAATCATAATGTTTGGGTTGTAGATGGAGCTGAATTTGTCTCTATTTTTGTGCGCGTTGTGAAAGCAGAGCAGTGAGTCTCTCCATTGGAGCTGCCTGCTGTCCCCCGTGTTCACAGTTTTCATCCAAATAGGCTAATTGCTCTCTTTTATTAAAGTGGGACAGAAGCAGCGGAGACGGCACACGGTGAGAGCAAGACGTCCCCATTCCCAATAGGGAGCTGAGAATTTCCTAACTTTCCCCAAAAGCAAAGATGGCGACAAGGATGTAAACATGGGATATGTAAAACGAGTCGAGTGGAGCTTTTAGTGACGGATGGACGATACTTTTGTGTAGATATTGTCCTGTTGCCAAACCAGATTGAACCATGCTTCTGTTGTCAAATTGAAAGCCTCACAGTTTCACACATAAAACTTAAAGAAAAAATGGTTTCAAACAAATATTATGAATCAGCAGTTTACTCTAAAACTGATTGTTGTTCTCTCTCTGGGTTCCCTTAGAGGTGGTGAAGCGTTCAGCGGATCAGTCGTGGATCTTCACAGGGCTTCGCCACATGGGAGTGCGCTTCCACACTCATAAGGGTGTGTGTTTGGGGCTCCCGCCGTCCCGTCGCCTGCCTGCTGCTGGATCGACATGGCCGGTGGCAGAGAGCGCAGAGAACGGACACAGAGGCCATGGTCGGTGTACCGGGCCAACACCTTCGAGCTTTCCAGCGAGATGATCGGCCTGGCACTCGCAGGTGAGGAGTCACAGGATTCCGAGGATCGGCTGTCTTGGAGTCTTAACTGTTGCCGGTTTGATTCCAGCTCGTCACATATCGCTGTGTTCCTATTTTCCAGGGAATAGTCAGGACCCAGACGAGCCTGTTTTGGAGTTCAGTGTCGGTGAGTGTTAACTGCTCGAAAACCTCTTGGTTTGTGCCTTGGTGACTGTAGAAGTGTTGTCGGTGTGTTCCAGCCTGCTCGGAGCTGGCCACTCCCGCTTTGGAGCGAAAACCAAACAGCTTTGTAGCTGTGAGCTGCACAACCCCGCCACAGGCCTTCTGGACCAAACACGCCCAGACCGAAGTCATCGAGGTCAGTCCGTCCAGAGGAACCGATCATAGCTGCTTCTCCATCGCCAAGTGTCACTCTAACCGGTGAATATCTGGATTTGTTCAAGTTGTGGTTTCGATGGACTTAAATAAATCCACATATTTAATTTTGTCTCATCAAAATGAGACAAGTTGATATTTAATATCAAGGTAATCTGAATTAGTCATCTTATTCAGATTGTGGCATTTCGTTTTTAATGTTTTTAAGGGTTCCACCGCTGAATCTAGGTAACGCAGTCAAAACATGTACACCATTATCCATGCATGAAAATAAAATTCACCCCACAACAAACTATTGTAATGCGGTTCTTGTGTTTTGCACCAGCCAATCATACGATAATATAGAACCCTGTTTGACCAGGTCATGTAGGAACAAGTTGAAATTTCTCTTGGGTTTTTTTTGTGTTTTTTTGTTTTTTTACTACATTGTTTATACTCAGAGTAGAAAAATATGTTAACATGGTGTAGACAAAGCTAACTATTGGAGCATACAGTGTTTCAGACTCGTTTCATTCTCTGAACTAAATAAGCGGCTTACATTTCAAGGTCCTATAAAATAGTGGGACCAATTCTATGTGCCACCTTTGGACTTTTACTCAGGCAAAGCTTTCATCATAATACCTCTGGTACAAGCCAGACGCAGGGTAACCATTGCGTCTGCAGTTGATTGGCCTGCAGAATCTACGTCAAGACTGTAGTAGTTGGCGAGACGGCGAGGTCCAGATCGATAACGCCATGGTCAAACCTTTTGGTCTGAAACTTTTTAGCAATTGTAGAAGAACAGCGCAGAGAGCGTCGACTGGACGGGATATCCCTCAACAAACAAATACACAAACTCAAAATGACGTCATTGGAGCGTTCGCCCACGTTCCTGCTCATAGTCGGGAGACGCACCCGACTTGACTCAAACCAAATCAGACATTAACCGGATGGAGTGAGACTTGACCATGGAGAAGGGACTTAAGAGGATACTGTCTTAAGAATTTGTACGATTAGTGATTAAAATCAGCTTGTCAAGCGTGCTAAGCTGAACAAATACTGCTTCATGTAAAGCATTGTATAATGCGAGTCCCCTTGGCTTCCCCTCAGGGTACCAGTAACCCCATCTTCCTCAGTAGCATCGCCTTTTTCCAGGACTGTAACATTAACCCCCAGACGCAGGTCAAGCTGGCCGTGTACGACGTAAAGGACCGCTCGCAGGGCACGGTACGAGTCTTTTATTATGAACCTGTGGCACCTTGTGAAAACCCAACATAAATATGAGCTGTCGCCTCTCTCTGTGTACAGATGTACATGTTGGGGTTTGCACTTTTTGCTGTGAAGGAACTTCTGCAGGAGAAAGACCACAGATTAGAGCTTGAACTGCGGTAAACCACCTATACATGAAATTCGAATCCTGTAGAGGACGCATAGCTTCTAAGATATTTTTTGTCATTTGTTCAGCAGCATTTTGTTTTTCCTGTGAAATAACCTAACCTGAACTCCAGAAATAAAACCCAGCCTGTGTTTTTTTGGTGGTCAGATCGGCAGATAACCAACGGGTTGGGAAGGTTACCATCGCAGCGTGGCAGATGGAGGACAGGGGTGATCATAGGATGTCTGTGAAGAGTCTGCCAGAGAGCGTCAACGGTCGAGTAAGGAACCAAATAATCAGCTTTTGTTGCCATTTTTTTCTCCTTACACACTAGGTCAAGACCATTATTTCGTCTCAAGAAACCTGATTGGGTTCCTGGAAGTTTGGAAGACCCTATTGAGTGACACGGCTCACCAAATAGCACGTTGAAACTTGGGTCAATAAATGCCAAACCTTTTGGTCGTTCAGTTGCCTTTTCAGACTCATAGCCAGAAGAAACCTTAGTATTAACCCAAATGAACAGAGCCTGGATGTGGTCACAGTTATTGCGTTTTTCCTTGCTCTCTGCCTCAGAGAAAGACCCGGTGTCCAATTTCTGTCTTGATTCGGTGTAAAGCAGGTCAAATTTGCACTCAGTCCGTGTTTGTTTTGGCTGCAGATGGTACTTCCCGTTGACGAGAGCCTGACTGAGTCGATGGGAGCCCGGATTAAATACGCCTCGCTGTCCAAAGACAGCCTGCTGAGCTCAGGTGAGACTTCACTGACAGATTTAAGCCACCACAACAGCGTGGGAGGGGAAAGCTCCTCAGTGTTGTCGTTGCATGCAGTGTTTTGGTATGAATAATTGGTTGATCAGAAAAGCTCCTGGCGAAACCTGTCAAACTGCATTACGATGCGTATTGTGAAACAGTGTTCGGAGGAACCATGTCCAGGATGTACCGCTTCCCAACCACTGACGGAAAGCACCTGCGCGTCCTGGAGCAGATGGCTGAGAGCGTCCTGTCCCTCAACGTTCCCCGGCAGTTTGTCAAGCTGCTGCTGGAGGAGGACTTCGCCAGGTTACTGAACAATCATCTCAGTTCTCCATTATTTGGATGATTAATTGTGTTTTTTAAAAATTGGCATTTTCTTCAGATTTTTCTTTTTTGTTCAAGCCTTTTTAATAAAATACTGGAAACATAAATAGATACATATGAATAAAGATTTGATATTTTAAATTGGAACATTATTGCCTAAAATGGAATAACACAGCATTTCTTTAGTGAACGCTCAATTGTTTGTAGTAAAGAATGAATCTGCGGCTCAGAAACATAAAAAGCTCAATTCTGCATGACTTAACATCGATACTGTACACAGCTGAAGTATTGATTGTTTTTTTAGATTACATAATTTGAACCAGATGAAGCAAAAACTATCCGACCTGAGGAGGTTTGGCTCAATCATATTTGCAGACAAAAGATTTTTTTTCAACTCTTCCATGCTAAATGTATGTATATATTTTTGACTCGAGTCTGTACACTCCGGTTAATGATTAATCAATTACTAAATTGGTTTATGGTTATTTCAATAATCAATTAATCACAATTAGTACGATTAATCCGCAGTTCTGAGCTCCTCAGAATTTAACTTTGTTTATTTCCACTCTTGTTTTGTGGTTTCCAGCGTCTAAAATCAGGAAGTACACTCGAACAAGCAAACACAAACTTAACAAGTTGAAACCTATTTTTGCATAAACGGCAGGAAGGATGCAACATTTTTCTTACCGATTTCATAAACTCGCCTTCATCGTCACATTTTTACAATTTTGTGAAACTGAATCAGTTTTGAGATGCTGCTGTAACATTACATTACTACTGTAACACTTTTCTAACATTAAATTGTTGCAAAAGCGAGGCGCCGCCGTGGATATTTTTCGCTACCAAAATATGATGACATATGCACTTTGAGGTCATTTCTGTCGCGTCTCTTATTTTTATTTTTTAATATCATTTTTTTTTTCCACCTTTAATATCTCTGCAGGGTGTGTGAGCTGGAGGAACTGGGAGAGTTATCGCCCTGCTGGGAGACTTTGCGACGGCAGATCGTGTCCCAGTACCAGTCCATGACGCTCACGTATCAGGAGACGCTGTGTGACCTCAACAGCTACCGAGGTGGGTGTCTTCACGGCTTCCCAAACGTTGGTCAATGAGTAAAAACTTGAAGCTTTCTCCCTCATACGCTCTCGGCGCACAGGTCCCTCCTTCAAAGCCAGCAACCTGAAAGCAGACAGGAAGCTGGAATTCATGCCAACCAACCTCCATGTGCAGAGGATGAGGGTGCAGGATGAGCTGGGCTTCAGTAAGACGTCTATTCTTGGAAACATGAATTGTTTTTTGTGCACTGTCCTTCCCTCTGTAAACATCTGTTTCATCGCAGAGCACACCTATGATGTCATAACGATTGGCGCTCCGGCTGCTCATTGCCAGGGATTTAAAAATGGCGGCCTCAGGAAGCTCATCCATAAGTTTGAGGAGGCCAAGAAACAGTAAGTTAACATGAATGTACAGAGTTCAAAAATCCAGATAAGCCATGTTTTTTTTTTCTTTTCCTTGAGTTAATTTTTATTTTCTTTACTTCATTCATTTTTTTATTTTATTTCAGATACTTCCAATAAGCAAATCACTGACCTGCGTTGATTTTACATTCAGTTAACGCACTGCTTCTTTGTAATATTTTCTGGCTTTCTTCTTAATTTGTTTCTGTTACTGTTTTTTTGATCAGCGTTTGTGAGGAGGGATGGTGAGTTGCTGCCTTAATTTTGCTTGTTTTCATTTCACAGTTTGCATCTCACTGCTACAATGGAAAATTCCAGGTTATGGCTTGTTTGCAAAAAAAAAAAAAAAAAAAAGAAAGCAACAAAGAAACTGAAATATTTGTCTTAAAACGTGAGTTTCAACACGTCAAACTGAACTCGCGCAACTTTGACGTATCTTTAGACATCCTTCCTGAGAATTTACAATCTCCACCAAGATGTTTTTATCTTGCTCTTATTTTGAAAAAGAAAAAGGAACCAGTTTAATAATTTATTTAAAATTGACGCCTCCTGGGTGGTTTCGAAGTGAATGGTGACAGAGTGCGTCTGGATGCATTCCAGCGCCGCAGGGCATGTTTACAAAGTGAAGCCGCAAAATAAACGTCCTTCTTCTCGTCCTGTTTGCGGAATGCGCCATGCAAACAGCTAGCATATTTTTCTGACATAGATCCTGTAAGTCACATGGACGCATAAATTATTAAAAGACTGGAAAGAGAAAGTTCCTCTGACTTTTTATTTGTCTCAAAATTGGCTAACAGACTAACGTTGTATGGGAGGGACAGTCTAGTGTCATCTTGTATTCTCCTCAATTTCTTTTCTAGTTATAAAAAGCTTCCATCTTCTGTGACAAGCCTTTTTTCAGTGGTAATTGCCACTGCTGTAGATTTTCTTATTTGTGATCAGAGTCAAATTCAGAAAGGCCTGATCAACGGACGACCAATCAAAGTCATTGCAACGATTTGCATCATTTAACAGGCTATGAACTGCAATTTTCAAATAACACCGCTTCTTACCACCATATAAACTGTTAATGTTCTTAAGTTGTCAAACTCAGAAATCACGTGAAACGGTATCGAATTCATTGAAATGTCACTTTGTACAGTTGTAAGTCGGCTGTTTGTTCAAGTTTCTAATAAAAGTCACTTTGAAAAGATCACTTTTAAGAACTAATTCTCAAGTTTGAATGTCAGTGGTGTTTCCCTCTTCTCAGAACGCTAAGGCACCATTTACAGCAGGCATGTGCATGTAGAAGCTGTAAAGTCTTATTTGACAAGTCAGTGGCATCTCCCCCTCCTCTTTTGGAAACATCTTCTTAAAATCAGATGCTGACTTTTTCACTTTAGAAGTGTAGAGCAGAGTGTCGTCAGCGTACGGTTTGGTAATGGTGTTTCCTCCCCACAGCAGCGCTCTCTCCAGCTCGCAGTCCATCGTCTACATACCCCAGGACGTCGTCCGAGCCAAAGAGATCATCGCCCACGTCAACACGCTCAAAACTCAGGTCAACTACTACGCGGAGAGGCTTTCCCGAGCCGCCAAAGACCGATCGGCTAGCGGGCTGGAGAGGACGCTGGCTATCCTGACGGATAAGGTGCCGCAGGAAGTTTGATTTGGGAGTTTGTCTCCATTTATTCCATGACTAAAAGCGATTTTTTCTCATCGTCAGACTCGTCAGTTGGTGATGGTGTGCGACTGCAAATTGCTGGCTTCGGCCATCCAGGCTTTGAACGCGGCGCGGCCCGACTACATCGCCTCCAAAGCGTCGCCCACCACCGAAACAGAACAAGTGGTCCTCCGCAACGATCAGGACACTCTGCTGGCCAAGTGGAGCGGCAGCAACAGTCGATCTTCGCTGCATGTGGACTGGCACGAAGAGGAGTGGGTAGGTCTTTACGACATTCCTCAACGGTTTCTCGTTATTACTATCGGCTCGTTTTGGTTTTCTCTTCACATCCGGCATATTAAAGTCTTTTGCCTTCTGCCCAGGAGAAGGTTTGGGTCAATGTGGACAAGTCTCTGGACTGCATCATCCAGCGAGTGGATAAGATGCTGCAGAAAGAGAGGAGACCAAGCAGCAGTAGTCTGGACAGTACCCAGCATGACCTGCAGGGCGGCGACAGTAAAAAAGGTGCACCTGTTTGCCATTTAAGTTGTAGCTCTAACATTTCTGCTTAATCTGCTCAGCTGGAATCAGTTTTCACCATCATACTTTATTAAAAAAACAAAAAAACACAGGAATCGCTCAGATGTTGGTGTGAATTGACTCTTGTGTATGTGGCTATGAAAAGGTGAGGAAAAACGACGGGCTTTCTGGATCAACCCAGGAAGTTTGTCGCAGGACTCATTATCATCAGAACCACCTTCATCAGCACCACCATGCTCTTCCTCTTCGCCTGCCCTCTCCTCATCTGCACGAGCCCCCAGCCCCGAACAGGAAAACTGTACGTTTCTGTTTCTACTGCTTCGTCGCTCCGTTTTTCCACAGAACCGCTCCGAGGTCGCAGTCAGACGTTTACATCCGCTCAGAACACACTCATTCTGGGGCAAGTTTCTGAGGACTGGGCCATGAATCGCTTTTATCAATTCATCGAATTTTTTGTTTTTGAGGATTTAAGTTTTTGGAAAACCAGGATTTTTTTTTTTCACCAATTGACATCTTTAGTTTTTATAGTTTGAAGCAACGTTAGCACACCCACGGCCGCCATCGTGTTTGACAGCTTCTGTTTATTTGGATTTTGAATTAAGGTCAACTCTTTGACAAAATGTAGATAAAAATAAAGGTATATTTTTTTAAAAAGTTGTAATATCAGGAGAATGAAGTATCCAGAAACCATGGCCCTCTTTCACCTCTCTTAGGGTCACGACTGGTAGTTAAAACTCGTTGACCCTACTTTTGTTTTAAGCATCTGAACATTCAAAGACTAGTTCATATGACATGAGCGTATGTAAACCTCAGACTGAAACCGAACTTCTCTCACCTCCTCGTCTGGATCGTGTTCTTCTATTCGATCGAGTCTCATTGTTTAACCTTTGTCGTTGTCCACAGTGTTTCAGTCAGTACTTTAAATGTTCTGCACCACGGTCAAACATCTGTTCCAACTGCCCCTTTAAACCAATAAAGTGGAAGCCTTTGCTTGAGATATCTAATCATATTCAGGCAGAAGATGCTGTATAGTGTGTTTTTGTTGTCAGATGTTTGACCCTGGTCTGCTGTGTTTTCTATGTGTGTCTGCTAATCATGCATGTTGCACCTTCACCCCTTCTTCCAGATGGAAGCCCGAGTGCGGAGGAGACGTACCCAGGTAAGAGCTGCTGCCTCTAACTTTGAATTACTGTTTTTGAACAGTCGCTTTCCATACGTTTTTCTATCACTTCAAAAATGAAAAAGACACACAGTGTAACTTGGCTTTCATTGGCGCTTCTGCTTTTCTTGCCCTCGAACCGTCCAGTCTGTTTCTGTCTCAACAGTCTAATTTAGATTCGTTTCAGTTTCGGCCTCCCAGCTCATAACCGCTTGGTTTTATTCTTGACTCCGTTCCACCTTTGTTCCCAGGTGAGTGGAGCGAGGCTCTGTACCCGCTCCTCACCACGCTCACCGAGTGCGTCGCCATGATGACCGACAAGGCCAAGAAGTCCATGGTGTTCCTGCTGATGCAGGACAGCGCCCCCACCATCGCCATGGACGTCTCGCTGCAATATCGCCGGGACGTCGTCTTCTGCCAGACGGTCAGCAAGCAAAGCACGACTCAACCATCCGATGAACAACATTTTCTTTCTTTCCTCCTGTTCTGACGTCTCTCCTTGATCCTCGCAGCTCACTGCCCTGATCTGTGGCTTTGTCATCAAACTGAGGAACTGTCTTCGAGACAACGGTTTCCTGCGGCAGCTCTACACGATCGGCCTGCTGGCTCAGTACGAGTCCCTGCTCAGCACCTACGGTCCGAAACAGACTCCGTCAGGTCTTAGTCGTTCCTTTTTTGAGCCGTACTTACTTCGCTGAGCGTCTCCTTGTGCGTCTAGGAGAGGAGGTCGCCATGTTGGAGGACATGAGCATCGGCGTCATGGATCTGCGCAACGTCACCTTTAAGGTAAAAATAATGCCACGTCATATTTACACAGAAAAAAAACCCAAGACGTTTCTAGTTCAAATGTTTTAGTACATTTGAATTTGGGCACAAAAAAAATTTAAGTCACTTTTCAGCAAGATATATATAAACTAAGTCAATAAATTTTCAACAATTTGAAAGTAAAATGTAGCAGTTCTAGTATTTTTTATATCTAAATTCAAGAGTTATTTACTTAAAACAAGCTTGCATATCTTGCTAAAAAGTTGCTTGTAAGTCAGTTTTATCTTTTTTCAAGATATTTGCACTGAAAACAATACAAAAAAAAATACTTTGCAAATTTGTGCATTTTTTCAGTGTAATTTGTGCACAAATATTCTGATGTTTGACTCAGGTCACCCAGGCAACCGGCAGCTCCGCCCCCGACATGCTGCCGATCATCACGGGCAACAGGGACGGCTTCAACGTCCGCGTCCCTCTGCCGGGCAGCATGTTCGACGCGTTGCCGCGGGAGATCCAGAGCGGCATGCTGCTGAGGGTCCAGCCGGTGCACTTCAACGTGGGCATCAACGAGCAGCAGACGCTGGCCGAGAAGTGGGACAAACTCGCGTTTTGTGCTCCAGAGTTTAAACGAAGGGGGAGGAGAGAAGAAAGCTGAGTTTGTGTTTGTGCCGCTCAGGTTTGGTGACACATCCCTGCAGGAAATCATCAACGTGGAGAGTCTCTCCAGGCTGAACTCGTACTATGAACAGTTCAAAGAAGTTCTCCCCGAGGACTGTGAGTTCGGAAACGTTTCTTATTCTTCTGTATCGTCTCAGAATATGAGAAATGAAAGATTTAAAACTCCTACAAGCGTCCTTTTCTGCACCCAGGCCTTCCCAGGTCCCGTTCTCAGACTTGCCTCCCTGAGCTGCTGAGGTTTCTGGGCCAGAACGTCAACGCCAGGAAGAACAAGAACGTGGACATCCTCTGGCAGGCGGCCGAGGTGATTAAAAACCTCTGAATGCAGAAGAGAAGAGGCATCCGCCTGTTGAAACTCAAACCTCTTTGCTATCCTGCGTTAGATATGCCGCCGGCTGAACGGCGTCCGTTTCACCAGCTGCAAGAGCGCCAAAGACCGGACGGGCATGTCGGTCACTCTGGAGCAGTGCCTGATCCTGCAGCATGAACACGGCATGGCGCCGCAGGTCTTCACGCAGGCGCTCGACTGCATGCGCAGGTAGGAGACTCAACCTGTTCTGTCACTTGAACTCTTAGCTGAAATCTGATTCGTATTTATTTGATTGAAGAAAAAAAAAAACACAAAAGCAAATCTCAAACAAAAATGTGTTTTCGCCACAATCATCGTCATTTTTTCCCTTGTCATCCTTTTGTTCATCGGCTACCAAGTAATAAGTAGTGAACTATACTTTGTTTTAGGTTTGTATTGAATGCAGCTAGATTACACACAGATTGAAATTACACCATAGAAGCAAGAGGTTATATTTCAGTCCTCGAAATAAACTTTTACTGCCGCTTTCTCGAAAGCAAACTTTCTCCAAACTCCACAAAAGCGGGTGAAAGTAACGCATTACAACCAACATAAGCTAATTGTTGTTATTTACAGTCTGATGATTTCCACGGCCAGGCCAATTGAACCAAAGTCATACAAGATTCAAATTATGTGAATTACAAAGCATACGATTTATTTCTTGAGCACTTTACGGTACATAACACCAGCATTAACCATACTGAGCAATAAACAAAAGCTAGCAAAAAAAAATCTGCACATTTCTATAAGAATCAGAGCAATTGTCCTTATATTGTTTTGACATAACTTAAATCAAAGTCAGCGCAACAAGCTATATATACAGACATGTTGAATAAATTTGAATATACATCAAAGTCTTATTTGTCAGATTGAAAGTGCATTTTGAAAATAACATTTAAGCAAGAATTACACGTTTTAACATTTTGAAAATAGTTTTTTATTGGTCTGATGTAATATCTGAATTTAAATGCCATGTTTTCATCAGCTATAAATGGAAATTATTATAATTAAGAGATATGAAGGTTTTTGAAACTTTCAATATAATGTATAAAAATCACTTGGTGATAAAGTTCCTCTAATAGATGGACTTTTCAAATGCATTTTGATTTATTGAATGGGTCTGTATTCATGTATGTGCAATTTAAAACAGCAAAATGAAAACGAGTTCAGTCAAAAATATACATACAAAATTACAGTGTGAAATCCGTCCTGTTTACCTCCAACAAGGGGGGAAAAAAAAGAAACAAGCTGAGCTTCCCTCCCCCTCCCCCCCGCCTGCAGAAATACGATGCGACAGGAGACAGCGTGACTGAGCTGCTGCTGCTGCCGCCGGTCGTTATCGATACTGATATTGATCCGCAGCAAATGTGATTCTCTTAGCTGGTTGTGCTCCTCATGTCTCTGTTTGGTAGAAATCCCAGAGACGCTCGCGCCGCTCTATTTCAAGTCCTCTCCATCTCTCTCCTTCTCCTCACGTCTGCACGCGTTCCTCTCCTCCCCCTCCGCAGTCGGCCGGCATGAACTCAGATTTGATTTGACCCCCCCGGACGCATGTATGACAGCAGTGAATTGCCCCACGCCCATAACGTTTGCACGCTCTGAGCTTCGCGCTTCTCCTTCATCTTCCATCTCCATCCATGTCTAAAGAGAAGATAAACATGGTGAACCATTATGCTGTTTCTTCTTTCCTTTCTTTAAAACATCTTTCCTAATTCCTCTTTTTTTTTCTTTCTTCTCTCCTCTCTTTCCTTCCTGTGCTTCCCGTCTCATGGTTCTTGTCGTGGAACTGATTTATTTTTGCCGGATTGTGTTTTATTCGTTTATTGATGTTTTCGTTTTGACGCCGCCTTGTGGGAGCTGCTTTCTGTCAACACGTCTTTTCTTTGTTTGTTTGTTTTTTCCTTGTTCTCACATCCCACTTATTAATTTGCCATCTCTCCGCTGGCATCTCTGCGTGCCATCTGTTTATATCCCTTCCTCCTCATCCGTCGCTCTCCTCCTCCTCTTTTGCCGCTCCACCTCCTTCCCGTTCTTCTCCCCCCACGCCGGACAGCGTTGGGACGAGGGAAGGCGTGATCCAGAAGAACCTGAGCGGCTTGCTGCCGGTGCGCGACCTGCGGCTGGACCCCAGCCTCATGTACTCCCTGCCGCTGTTGGCGCTCAGCCCCAACCTGCTGGTGGTGTGCATCTTCCTCAGCGTGGCGTATTTCTTGGCCAGAGTCCGCTGCAGCTGAGCCAGGCCTGGTCAGGTTTTTTTGTTTTGTTTTTCGAAACAGCAGTCCAGTCACACACTGTTTCACCTGAACGAAGGGCTTTCCACAAACCCCCACCGGAGTTTCTTCATGGAAAAAAAAAACAAAAAACTGAATTTTCCTTCACTTCTTTCTCCTTTTGCTCAAAGTGAGGCATCACGCAAATGGTTTACCATTTAAAGCTGCAGTATGTAAATCTATCATAATTTCACAACCAATCGGAGTCAGAAGGAGGATCTTAGCGCTGTCAATCAACTTTGTGAGCGCACTGCTAAACATGCTAACCACAGAGAAACAACTTAGCGTTAGAGAAAAAACATTTATCCGCCGTTATCGGTGGCCGTGCTAACTAGCCTTGGTAGTAGTTAGCATTTGCTGAGCAAAAGTTTGAACAAATCTAGAAAAAAATATTTTTTATTAAACTTACATACTGCTGCTTTAAAGTTACATTTTTGTGTCTTATTTTCATATTTTCTCTCTAAATGTTGCCATTCCTGGGATTGGTCACTAAAGTGCAGCCTTTTGTCTTTGTTTTTTGTTTTTTTTGAAGTGATCACTCTCATAAAGAAAGAGGAAAGGCTTCAAAACAATAAATGATGTGTTTTATGGGGAACATGCAATAGAAGAAAAAGCATTTTTAAAAGGGATGTAATGGATATTTTTAGCAAATGACTAGATGTCACGCTGTCTTATTTATATGAACATATATATATATATATATAATATATATTAAAAGAGCTTCTGGAAGAACTAAGAGTAGCTTTTATTTAAAAAAAAAAAATCGTGTAAACAGCTTCTTCCATTTATGCTTTCATAGTCTTCCACGTGCGTCAGCACTCGGCTTTTGAGCTAATGTAGACGAACCTAAAGCTTTTTATGCAGCTATGCCTAAGCTTACATATATTTATATTTTTGTCGGCCTTGTCTTTTGCGTCTCAGCAGGTCTTCCTGGTTTTATAGAAAGTGCGAGGCGTTTTGCAGATTGTAGGATATCCAGGTGAAATGTGTTTGATTATGCAAAGCGATGCTGCCGGTTGTGTACCGTTTACGCTTTAGAGGCAGTTATGAAGATGAAAGAATCTAGTTTATTATGCAACAAGATTTCTGAATTATTGATGGACGTGTTCCATCAAACCCAATGCTTGTCGAGTTTTATCGCAGGGTCTGTTTCCAGATGTTTGCTGGATGCAGCTTGGCCTGTTGCAAAAAGTAATAAATCAATTCCTTGTGTAATAAATCAAAATAAGATTAATAACTTCCAGTTAGACCACAATCTTTAAAGAGATACTGCCCTATTGTTGAGAAACGCTGCAGACATTTGACACCCAGTACAAATGGGTTTGCACTACTTGCCCCTTTTGCCTGTTGTCCCTGTTTAAGCTGAGCAATTAATATGGTTGGAATTTTGCTTACAAAGACTTCATAATCCATTTGAATTCTTTTTTTATTTGGGATTTTTTAAAAATATTTTTAAATTCCAGCATTCAGAAATCAGAATAATCTTTGAGTGTGGATTCTTGGCTCTATATACCATTATTATTATTATTATTATATTAGTTGAAAATGCTCTCAAAACAACAATTTTATCATTTATTGCAATCATTTCTGTAACAATTTCTTATGCATAAAGTCTTTTTTTCTTTCCCCATGTGTTCTGAAATACAAACACTGTTTTGTTTTACCAAGCGTTCCTGCTTCCTGAATGACAAAATGGTTTAAAACAAAACCAAAATTCAACAATACGAAAAAAGTATTTAGAATAATAGTTCTGTATACGGAAGGCAGAAAATATCAGAATAATTTAATAAAATAGCTTATCATCAAATTAATTGGTAAACAGTTTCTATAAATATATGCTTTTTTTATGTAAAAAATGATCAAGAGTAATTACAAAAAAGATTTCATTGTTAAAATATATTACGTCTGTTATGGAAAAAAAAAAACGTGCTCATATCTGGACTCTGCCTCATTTTCGAGGCAACAAATAAATGCCCATCATTTATTCGAGATCAGAACTGCACCATAATTTGATGTGTCTGGACGGAAAAGGATGAATTGTGCGTTTATTATTTTGGGGAACTGAAAGCATTCTGGCTGCTTTACTTGGAAGTATGCTATTTAAAAATCAATATCTCGGCCTGCAGCATCAGCTGCCTCCCCGGAGAGTTCGGGCTCGGTATCATTAAGATCGACCCAGTAAGGAAATAGATAAGACCAAATTAGCCTCCCTTGGGACTTTTATTGGCTCTTGTGTCCTGCTAGCATTCACGTACTCTGACCGGTGATCAATTCCTGTGAAAGCATAACAAGCTTCTCTGTCTTTACAAATATTTTTGCCGTGGATCCAAACGGCTGTGCATGCTACACAAAAAAAAAAAACCTGCCATCGTTTTAGCCCGTTAGCAAAGTTCTTTGTTTGTTCAGATACAGTGTTTCGTTTACAAGAATTCAAACGTTCAGCTGAAATTTGCTGATCTTATTTACTGTAAGTTATGTTTATGAATGAGTTAAGAGTTGATGTGCTTTTCAGTTGTATTGCTTTTGTTTTTTGGTTTCTGCCTTGCTCACTATTTTTGTGCTAGTAGCATACGAGCTGCACTATTTTGTTGGGTTTTTTATTTGGATATAAACATAAAAATAGCTGAGGATTACCATTATTCAACTCTAGTCAAATTGCCATGTTAGCAATGTACTTAAAAATCCCTCATTTCAAATCAAATTTAAAATCCAGTGTCTTCAAAATAGTCACTATTTTACGTGTAGCTAGCTTATTAGAGTCAATAGTTATTATTCATTAACTAATCAATTAATGAGTTAAGTTTTATGTTTTAAAGTACCATTTGAAAAATTAAATGCAAACTACACTTTTTTTTCTTTTGTTTTTTTTTTGGGGGGGGCAATTTATTGTTGATTTCACAAGATCACTGAGTTCTCCTTGACCCGCAGACCTAACATTGTTACCATTTCCTGAAAATATTATAAATAAAGTCGCAGCTGCTCGACAATGAGGTGGAAATTTCACTTTGCTGGAGGAAAAAGTGTCAGTTTCAGAGATATATGAATTATTTACTATCCATCTTTAGAGATGCATTATGATAAAGTGCTTCCTGAAGGGTTCAGTTACGTTACTGTTTCATGGAGCTTTTTGTTCTTGTTTTTGCACATCTATGAGAGTATATATTTGAAATATGTTTTTGGGAAGAATTGTTTTTAAGTGCTTGTATTATCTCAGTACATTGTCGTCTGTGATATTTATTATGAATCAAGAAAGGCGTAAATACATAAATCAATACTTCTATGCTGAATATTATGCTTGTGCCATAACTGTCCTACTCTAGTCACTTTATTTCTCTTGCTATGTATGTCTGTTTTTACTGAATATGCATTTTCTTGTGTGATTAAATTCTTTCACAGATTGCGGTTCTATCCGAAACTCTAAGCCTTATTGTCAAATATTGTTTTTGGGGGATGTTAGACTTGTAATGTGACATTATCATGGTATTCCAATCCTCATGTCTGACTGTAAACTGTTGATATGCTGAACTATGAGACTTTTCCAGAGATTTGTGCAGGAGGTTATTGCAAGAACAGTGAATTTGTTGCTTTCAAGGTATCCGTTCTGTTCATTTATTCCAGTGGTAACGTTCATATTCCAGCTGCACCCAGACATGTATTACGGTAAAAAAAAAAACCAGAATTTTTAACTATGCCTCAAATTAATGTCACTTTAATGTCGAAACGTTTGCTTTGTCCAGCATCCACTCTGCTTTAAATGTATACACAAATCCAAGAAAACCCTCTGTCCATGTGCCCTTATAGTCATAATGCTGCTCAAATAAATGTTTTATGCCTCCACTTGTAAAATGTATATACATGAGTATTGTTACTGTTTTGTTTTTTTCTTTTGTGTGTCGGTTTTGTACTTTTTTTGTTGTTACATAAATGTTTCTTGTAATATTTTTCAAAACAGATTCTTGGATCTGCTCACCATTTTTTTGTTTGTTTGTTATTTTTTACATTATATGGCCGAATTTAAAAAGACTCACTATTGCAAAATCCATTTGATAAATTTCTTGGTACTTTTAACTTTTTTTTTTTTATTATTTAAATGCACATTGTTTTCTATTTCTAGGTGTCGATTTAAATGTCGTACGTCTTAGCTAACTTGTTTAGCTTACCTGAACTGAAGTTACAAGCAACAGGATTAAAAAAAAAAAAAAACGTTCAAAGAACATTTTGATTTAGGCCTTTTATAACATTCATAATCTTGCTAGCTAAATAGCAAGCTAGCATTGCTATTAACATCTCTGTAATTAAAGAAGAAGCTAGACCCAGATCAATAACTAAAAGCTAGAAATATTTCAACCAGTTCAGAAATAAGAGATAGACTAGAAGTCATTCATTAAAATTGAGCTATTTTTATGACAACATTTGTATCTTCTGGCTAACTAATTAGCTCGCTACCTAGAGAAGTTCCAGACTGATTTAGTTGGATGACAAGTTAAAAATCCTTATCATTCAAACATTGTACAGATGAGTGAGAAGTGTTAAATAAGGTAGCTTGTTTTCAGTAAGAAGCACTTTAATGAAACATTCAGCTTTCACTATGTATGAAACCTTCTACATGAAAAGACTGATTGATTGGCTGATTAATTGATTGACATTTTAGGTTTGGTTGCCAAATAATTTATATTACAATTTTATTGTCATACATAAAAAAGGTAATCTAACTTGTTGTAGTCGCTTCATAATTTAGCAAAGCAACTTGATCGTCCATCAGGTTAGCAAGTTTTCAGTTGTCACGCTCACCCCACAGTATGTTTTGCTTGTGTTTTGACTCTTTTCGTCTCCCCCGGGCCCCTTTCCCGCTTCTTTTGTCTCCGCAGCGAGGGCTGCAGGCGAGAAAACACAGCAAAGAACGTCGGCGCGAGAAAATACGCCTTTAACTCGTTCCAACTCCGGGCCTTCCCCAAACACTACCGGCCACCTGACGGCACCTACGGGAAGGTGGAGACCTGATCGGACCGCCCTGGAGGTGCTCGTCAGGACAGCATCAGCATGGCGTGACCTCTTTGATCGGGAAGGATTACACTTAGTAGAGTCACGGTGCATTTCAGACATTAGATATTCAAAAGATTTTATATATATATATATATATAATGTTTCTGGAGGTAGATTCTGTGATTCAACGTACACTGTACTACCACACAGAAAGCGCTGAGGCAAATCCTGACAAAGACTGTTTTCTGGTATATGTGACGACACATTTCGCATATGTTACTCATCAGTTGCTAAACAGTGTTTTTACCTCACTGCCTCAATCTTTTAAGTCACTGATGATCGATATGTAAATACCAAGCTTTTAGTTTTAGCAACAAAAAAAAAAAAGGAAACAATTGTGTGAACTCTTGCCTTCGAATATAAATAGCTTATCTGAATAGAAGCCCACCTAGTGCACTTACCATGTAGCATAAGAAGCAGTGCCTTCAAAATGTTGTCTGAAGTGCCCATGAGCAAGATATGGATTCTGTCGTACCTCTTGTTTTGTTAGTTGGACGGGTCGGAAAGGTTTGACGTCTTGTTCTTAAGTTTAAAAAACATATCTTACCATGAAACTATTAAAAAGACCCAATGAGGAGGTTCATATCAAGTTTGATATATTTTATGACACAAGAGGGCGCCACTGTGCTTCTACCGACATACTTGGCTCTACATCTATGTGAATCAGCTGCCATGTGTGCAAATCCATGTACATTTTAGTCATCACTGAAAGTGTTATTTTTCTTCTTTTTTTTTTTACTCTGACACACACGTTTCTCTTTTCTGTGAAAACCCACCATATTTGACAGTGTTTATGTTGCGGCGTTGCTAAAATAAACGACTTTTTTGTTTTATGAATCGGTTTTCCTGATTGTTCGTATTAGTTAGAAAATATAATAGATGTGGCATTCTCAGAAAACTGCAGTGATTTGAAGACCTCTGTGATCTGAATCATTCTGTCCAAACCAAAATGACTCAGTTTTGCTTTTTGTGTCCCTGTCATGTTTGCTGCAGATAAAACTGAACTGTTTTACTACTCGTTTTAATTTAATCTCCATTCTTCAAATGATGGGTCAACCTATTTGCACACAACCTAATGCAAAAAACTACAAATTAAGAAAATAATGCAAACGTAGCAATGTCTCGTGAACACGGACATGTCTTCATTTAATCTCTTTAGAATTGCACCTTTTAACTTTTTAGTGCCTTTTCTTTGCTGAGAAACAAAAGAAAGCCATTTCAGTTGCTAAATATGTGTAGTAGAGAATTCTTGGATCTGCTCACCATCCATCTGAGCTTCGGTTTAACAGAGCAGGGAAAACGTAAAGAGGTCTCACTCTGATGTTTAGACAAAATTAGACCTCTCCATCAGTAAGACATAACAAACTGCAACCCAGCCAAAAACACACGGCTAATAAAATAAAAATACTTGAATTACCAAACACCCCATTTAATAATATATAAGTTAGGGTTTGAAATGCTCCCCCTTCAAATGTTAGATAAAATGTCTGCATTAGATCAGTTTACAAATGGCCGCACTTTGGGCACTCCGGATTTATACGGCACTGTGATTCATCAGGAGACAATTGTGTATAAGTTGGACACTAAAGGATTTCTAAATGTCCCAAATTCTTGCTCCGGCGTCGGTTTTACTGTCACTTTAAGAAAGCGCCTTCTCGTTTTCTTCCTCTCAATTTCAATGCCGAGTAGCGCCTCCTGTTACGTAGAGCATCTCTGCAGCTAACCGCTAGTGTCAACAGTGAAACGACAAGCTGCGGTGTTTCTTTGCTAACAGCTCAGCTAACGGAGGACTCACCTACTGGGTTAAAGGAACAAGCAGAAGAGAAGTCAGTAGAACCGGCCGGTAAGAGAAAGAAGTTTTGTTTTATTTTATTTATCTCGTCTCCCTTTAAGGCTGGGGTTTGTTTTTGGTGCTAGCTGCCAGGTTAGCTGGTGTCAGACAGCAAATCTTAGCAAACACCTAGAGGCTGTATTGTCACGTTTATCATCGCAGTTTGTGCTGTAAATAATAGAGTAGGTGTATTTTAATGAAACGGTGCATTTTGTCTCAGAAAAGAGGCGAAGGGCGACAGCGTGCTTTCGTTTTCCCACCTAAACCAGTTGGCTCAGTTGTATGGTTTCTGTTTGGTTCAAATCAGATTGACAGCCTGCAAAATGACTGACACTGCTTGGTTTGTTTCTCAGGGCTGAGAGCAGCAGCCAGGTCCTGATGGAGGACTAGAGCCCACTCACTGATGGAAGCCCAGGAGAAGAGGTAGGTCCACTCAAAGCCCACCACCTCCCCCAGCACTGGGGCTCATATAATCCTGCCCAGCTGTTTCTGGATGGATGTGATCACCATGTGACATCGCCTACGGATGGAGCTCACTTCTGCTTTAAACCCACAAAAATCTGGTGGAGAAGCTGCTGCTGCAGCCACCCACACAATCTTCAATTCCTCTTTTAATCACTCTTGCTTTTCTTTATTTTGTGCACTGACATCAATGGGCTTTTTCTCCTCCAGCTCTGCAGATGACGATGGAGGGGAGCGGGGTCTCCTCCACTCCTGGAGGGGCTATTCCTACAGTGTGGTCCCAGAGAGGCTGCTCCTCCCGCGGCCGGTGCTGCAGGTCGCCCTCGGAGCGCAGCACGGTGTTCTGCTGGCGGAAGGTGAGACTCCCTTGCCGATAAACAAAAGAAAGCCATTTCAGTTGCTAATAATGTGTAATAGAGGAAATCTGGTGGTATCTGCATGTGTAATATGACAGGACAAGATAATAATAATGTCCTTCCCTTGGGAAATGCCTTCATCGATTTGTTAAATCGGTTTTTATCACCTCTGATAATAGTGGGCGATAAACCGACTGAACAAATTTTGAAAACTTTTTTTTTTCCTCCAACAATCTCTTCATCGTTTTGGTGTCCATAGTTCAGAGTGATGTCAGCATGCCCAAGGTCAATTGTCTTGTTGTGTTTTACAGCTTCTATTTACTTGGACTTTAAATTCAGGTCAGCTCCACCACAAAGTGTTTGGGTCAGACTAAGGTTTTTCTATTCTTTTTAAATGACAACAATTAGGTCATAAAAGTACAAGAGTGCAGTTGTAATTTTAGGAGAATAGCTAAAAGTTTCAAGGGAAATTTTTTTTCTGGTAAAATTCCAACTTTATTTTGCTAATATTGTGATTCTATTCTCATGATTAAACAAATACTGTTTGCTGTTCTAATACTCCATCGTACAACTCGCACAAGGGAAAACTGACTTTTAAAAAAATCACTTTGTGAAAATATTTTCTGCCGTTTGATTTTTGTTTTATCAGAAAAGAAAGCGAGTGGAAAAATTGATTAGAATTGGATTTGGTTTGAAAAAAATCTTGAGATTTGATTTCCCAGACCTACCCTGAATCTTTAACCTTTTTCTGTGGAGTCGGCTTCTTATTAAAAAAAAAAAGGTTCCTCTGTTTTTTTGTTTCTGATTTTTAATTGATAGGAGGACAGGTGTATACTTTCGGGGAGATGCCATGGAAACAGACTCAGGCGTCCCCGCCAACTAAGCCGACCCCGGAGAACGCGCTCAGCGGGCAGCGGGTGGTCGCGGTCGCAGCCGGGAGCTTCCACAGCGGGGCGGTGACGGAGGACGGCAGCGTCCACATGTGGGGGGACAACGCGGCGGGCCAGTGCGGCCTGTCGGGCCTCAGCTGCGTGCCCAACCCGACGCCCGTGGCCCTGCTGGAACCCGGCGGCGCTCAGTCGGTGCCCGTCGTGGAGCTGGCGTGTGGCGAGAAACACAGCCTGGCGCTGTCGGCGCAGAGGGAGGTGTGGGCGTGGGGCAGCGGGTGTCAGCTGGGCCTGAACGCGGCCGTCTTCCCCGTCTGGAAGCCTCAGAAGGTGGAGCAGCTGGCTGGCAGGTGGGTGCTGCAGGTGGCTTGCGGCGCTTCGCACAGCCTGGCTCTGGTGCGCTGTGTGGGACCTGACGGTATCCAGCGCCCCCCTGTGGACAAATGCAACCAGTGTAACCAGCTCCTGTACACCATGACGGACAAGGAGGACCACGTCATAATCTCTGACGGCCATTACTGCCCCATGGGAGTGGAAGCCAGAGAGGACCCCCCTCCTTCCCAAACCTTGAAAGCATCCCCATCTGAACCCATCCTGCCCTCCCACAGCAGCTCCGCTTCAACCGCAGCAACTCCCACTCCTGACCC